GGTAATAATTGTCTTCCCGTGCCTGGGTTACATCACTTAATGTCTTGTTCTCAAGGTCATCCCACTGTTCCACTGGCCAGGTGTCCTTTAGTGGCTGAGTAATATTCCACTAAAAAAGCACATCCCATGCAAGCAATCTCATTTTCCTCCTCGTTTGTCTGTTGACACTTAGCTTCTATTCCACCTCAGTTCCTTTGCCTGGTGGCACAATGATTTCAGGGGTTCAGATGTATTCCACACACTGATTTTGTTTTCTTTGGATATTTACCCACTACGAGAGCTGCTGGATCCTAAGGTGGTCCTACTTATTGTTATGTGAGGAAGTTCTGGAGACAGCTGCACATGTGGCAGTCAACCCGTGCTGACCTTGATCCCATTGGATAAATCTTGAGGGGCACAGCTGGATTGCATAGTAATTCTAGCTCTAGTTCTTAAGAGAACCCCAGACTGATTTCTATGGGCTGCACTGGTTTGCACTCCATAGTACGTAAGGGTTCCCTCATCATCACCAGCATCTGTTGTTTTGCTGGTGACAATCACTTTCCCTGGGGTGAAGTGGAGTGTCTGTGTACCTTTTTGGTTTAAGTTTGGAGTCGGGGTCTCACGTAGCCCAGGCTGGATCTGAGCTCCTGACCCTCCTGCTTCTGTCTCTTGAGGGCTGAGATGACAAGCATTGTGTGACATTATTACTGGGAACATGAACAAAAAATGTCTAGTCACTCCAGATAGGAAACTAAAAACAGGTCAAATTACAAATACCACCAAAATCCAAGTTGGTGAACCATGAGGTTTATTGGGGTTACTTACAGCTGCATCACAAAAGCCCCTCACAACGCAGGTGACATTTCACAGAGCTGGGAGCCTGGAGTGCACCACACAGCCTGCAGGCAGCCTGACAGGTTGGAGAGTGTCCTTCCAGGTCCCTTAGCTGGTCTCTCTCAGTAGGTCTTATGCATACCTGAGAAAAGTTGGCTTAGTCAGTCCTATCACTTTGGGAACTTCCTGAAGCCTTTGTTTTCTTTCTGTGCTTAATTAAGGAGTTCCTTGGGAATCAGAAGGTTCTAATCTCAGAGGAACCCTCAGCCCCGCTTCTTAGTGAGCTTTTTGATACGCATTTCCCAAGATGTTGAAGAGGCTGAATGTCATTTTCAAAAGCATATTGACCTTTTGTCTTTCTTCTTCTGAGAACCATCCATTCAGCCCACACCCCTGTGTGGACTAGCTGTTTTGCTTCTTTGGTGGATGTTTTTGAGTTCCTCATATAGTCAAGATAGTAACTCCTGTCAGGCAAATGCTGGCAAAGCCTTCCCAATCTGTGGGTCCCTTCTTCCCACTGCCAGGTCTGTTTCATTTTCTCTGCTGTGTGAGTGCTTCTCAAATTGGCGAATCTCCTTTGTTACTTTGTGGAAGAAGATGGTGGGTTTTCTTTTACTTTCTCACTTCCTGTTCTTGTCTCCCCAAAGGGACTCCAGGCCCTCTGGGATCATTTGTCTTTTTCACCCCCAGGCTTCCTTTCAAGTTTTAGATTTTTAATTTATGTGTATATGCGTGTGTCTGTGTGGAGGTTTGCACACATGCATGCAGTGCCCATGGGGGCCAGAAGAGGGCATTGTGTCTGCTGTAACTGGAGTTACAGGCAGTTTTAAGCTGCCATGTGTTGCTGGGAACTTGACTCTAGTCCTCAGCAAGAACAGCAAGCATACTTGACCAGTGAGCCATCGCTCCTGCTGGGACCTCCAGGTCTCCAAGCTTCCTTTAGTGACTAAGACAGTATAAGAGTGTGACTAACTGTTAACAAGAGAGTGAGTGAGTACAGGAATGTGTCGTAGCCTTTCCTGGAGAGATGTGAACTATTTGCCCCAGTAGAGCATCTACAGCAGATGAACAAACAACCCTACCCAAGCCCAGCAGGGTGAACCTGTGAGTTTCTTGTTTGATCTTTGTCTGGGGCGTGGAGGGAGGAAGGAATCCCAAGACCAGGGAAATGGGGAGAGATCCCAACCTCAGGAAAAGGCAGTAGGCAGGGAAACTCAGGTTGCTGGTTGACAGGAGTACTTATCTGATGTCCATTTGACCTGTGAGAGATGGGTCCAAGTCTCATAACTCTTTGAAGCTTACAAGACTTTTTTGAAGTTTACAAAATGAGATAAAAATTTTAGATATGTCAACATTGCCCCTGTTTGTGTTTTGTACTGAATTTCTCACTGTAGAAAAAGCAGTAGACTCACACCTTGAGTCATAGTAAGAGCTTAGGGACCCAAAACAATAATTTGGGGTTAAAAAGCATTAGTACTTTTTTTCTCTGTCCAGAAGGTTGGACATATCCATTGGACAGAGGTAATTTTAACACAATGAGGAGCACTTTTAAGTCTATACTTAGAAGACATCGAAGGAAATCTAAATTTTTGAGCTTGTAACTATGATAATAGTAACAGTACTTTACATGGGCTAGATTAGTAGCTTATCAGAATACCATTGATTAATATTTAACTGTGAGCCTTTCAAGTCTTAGTATAACAATAGAATAGAAATGGAAACAAATCTGAAACATTTCTCATTTTTTATACCTTAAATCACTTTCCTAGACCCTCACAACTAACATAAGCTTTAAGCTTCTTCTTTCCAAGCAGTCATTTACTACGAGACACAAGTGGTTGGTTACTGAGAGTAATCACTGCAAAACAAGTACCTTTAAATAAAGGAAGAGTTAAAAAAATTACATTGAGCCAGGCGTGGTGGTGCACACCTTTAATCCCAGTACTCAGGAGACAGGGGCAGGTAAATCTGTAAGTTTGAGGCCATACTGGTCTACAGAGTGAGTTCCAGGACAGCCAGGACTGCACCAAGAATCCCTGCCTCAAAAAAACCAAATAAATAAACAAACAAGAAACCCAGCATTTCTTGGGGTGTCTTGCGTGAGTACAGAGGATGCAAGGGGCAGCATTTCCAGAAAGCCTCGTCCACAGTGGGCGATGCATCTGTGGATTTCACTGTCATCACCATCTGTCCCAGATGGGTGTCATGCCCCCATCTCCCCACTCCCCCACCCCGAGGAAACGCTTTACCGCTTCTACAACCTTGCAAAGGGGCCTTGAGAGCCTCCAGGAGGGACTGTTTCAATCAGGGAAGAAATAATGAACTTGTTAAAGTCGGTTTCAAAGGACACAAGACAGAAGGAACAGAAGTGGAGACAGGACGGCAGTTAAGCCGAGGGGGTGGGGTACACAGCGTGATGTGTGTGACGTGTGCGCGGGTCAGAGGACAGCTTGCAGAGTCGGCTCTCTCTTGCCACCATTTTGTTCCTCAGGGTGTGAACTCAAACTTGGCGCCAAGCATCTCCGCCCAGTGACTCATCTCCCTGGGCCCTTGCCAAAGTTTTATTATTATTATTATTCAATTTATTCATTTTAAATCGTGTGTATATGTGCATAGATGCTCTCAGAGGAAAAGGTATGTGATCCCATGGTGCTGGAGCCCCAAGTGGGTGTGGGCTCTGGGAACCAGACTCGGTCCTCTGGAAGAGCAGCGCGTGCCCTTAACTGAGCTTTATCGCCAGCCCTGAACCCAAGGTTTCTGATGAAGCTCAGCAGCGCTGGTTAGAGGAGGAGTCAGAGAGACTGGAGGGTCCATGGGAACGGCATGGTGGTCTCCAGGACGATCCTGCTGCCCGATGTCTCTCTTCCAGTGGGCATGGCAAGGCAGGTGTCTGTGCTGTGCTCCAGAGGCAGATGTCTGTGTATCCGTCAGCCGCAACAGGCGCATCTTCAACACAGACATGCGCAGTGCTGGAGGTGGGAAGTGTGAACGCTACTGATAGATGCTCTGAGCTCGCGGGGAGGGGAGGCAGGTGGGTGGATGGCCACGCGTTCATACACACCAAGCATGAGTCCATCTGGCCTGAGCTAGCTGTGGGCTGGGGAGATGACTGTCAGAAAAGAGTTTGACATGCAGGCATGAGGACCTGAGTTCAGTCCCTGGGACACACATAGCAGGAGAGAGAGCTGATTCCTCCAAGTTGTTCTCTGACCACCACCTGTGCGTGGACACCCAATCAGGGAGCAGGGGAGAGTGGGGGGGGGGATGGAGAGAGAGTGGGGAGGGGCAGAGAGTGGGGAGGGAGAGAGAGTAGGGAAAGGGGGAGGGATAGGGAGAGGGGGAGGAGGAGAGGGGGAGAGGGAGGGGGAGAGGGAGAGGGAGCAGGGAAAGGGAGACGGAGAACAAGCCGGTGGCAGAAGCTACAACCCCAGCTCTGGGGAGGCAGAGACAGGCCGCTCCCTTGACTTGCTAACCAGCCAGCCTAGTTGGCAAGCTCCAAGCTGGGGAGACACCCCATCTCAAAAACCAAGATGGACAGCCCAGCCCTGAGAAACAACACCCAAGACTGATATCTATCCTACACGCACACACACACCAGAAACTTAGCAGTCAGGCTGATGCTGTGTCTCCTCTTAGTCCAACCTGCTGACTCTCCGTCTCCCTTGAACCATCCCGAATACTCCATTTCTGATGCGTTTCAGATCTTCTGTCTGCCAAGGATATGGAAATGAGCCTCTCTTCACAGTTCCAGACATTTCTTCATGTGCCATCTTGGGCAAGGTCTCCCTGCTTCAAACTCCCACACCTGATTCAGTGGCAGGGTGTCTGGGGAGCTGTGTGCCCTGACATTCCACGGGAGCTGGCCTGTGCTCTTTAGCTCAGCGACCACTGCAACTGGAAATGCTGGTAGGTTGCGCTTGCCTGAAAGATAGCAAAAGCAGAACACCAGGGCGGAATTCTCCGTGTTCTCATCATTGGGGAACTCTAGGCAGGGGCTCCACCCTGAGCCATGCCCCCAGCCCCTCACTGGAGCTGATCCTGGATTAATTCATAAGTTTTCATCCCCTTTCTAGAGAAACTCTAGGAGGCCACCACCAAACAGCTGCAGTATGATGTGAAACTATCCTACTGGGACCTTTGCCAAATCCCCTGTACTTCCCTAGACAGGGATGCACTCTGGGAGGATGGCGGCATCAAATGTGTCAGCAGCCACAGATTTCACCCTCATGGGGCTCTTCAGCCGCCACACAGGGCCCCACCTTGCCCTCCTCTTCCTCGTGGTCACTGTGTTCACCACAGGACTGCTAGGCAACGCCATCCTGATTTTCCTGATTGCCACAGACTCCAGGCTGCACACACCCATGTACTTTCTGCTCAGCCAACTCTCGCTTCTGGATGTTGGCTTCCCCCTGGTCACCATCCCCAAGATGGTGGCTGATTTCCTGCAGGGAGAGAACACCATAACCTTCGGGGGATGCGCCACCCAGATGTTCTTCCTCATGCTCACGGGTGTCTCTGAGGGCGTTCTTCTGTCCCTCATGTCTTATGACCGCTATGTGGCTGTGTGCCACCCGCTGCATTACCAGGCGCTCATGAGAGGCCAGGTGTGCCTGGGGATGGTGGGCGCATCCTGGTTCTCAGGCGCGCTTGTGGCCTCCGTGCAGACCTCTGTCACCCTGCAGTTCCCCTACTGCGCCTCACACACGGTGGACCACTTCTTCTGCGAGCTGCCGGCCCTGCTCAAGCTGTCCTGTGCAGACACATCCGCCTACGAGCTGGCGCTATCCGTCTCGGGGGTGCTGATCTTACTGCTGCCCCTGTCTCTCATCTTCACCTCCTACGGCCACGTCCTGGGGGCTGTGCTGCGCATGCGCTCAGCCGAAGCCAGACACAAGGCTTTCACCACGTGCTCCTCACATGTGGCCGTGGTGGGTCTCTTTTATGGGGCAGCCGTGTTCATGTACATGGTCCCGGGCAGCTACCACAGCCCCCAACAGGACAACGTGGTATCCCTCTTCTACAGCCTCATCACCCCCACACTCAACCCCCTCATCTACAGCCTGAGAAACAGAGAAGTCCGAATGGCCTTGGTCAAGGCCACAGGCAGGGCTGACCTCAGGGCGAAGCGCCGATGGCCTGTGATGCTGCCCCTCCCAGGAGCCCTTCTCTGAGGCTGGAGGCGTGCACAGGTCATTGCTACTGGCCAGTTGCCTCCGGGGCGCACTTCTCCCTTCTGTGTGAACTTGTAGAAAACCAGAAGTTATACCCCAGCTGGGGCACACAGCTGCCATCCCCACACTAGCACAGGGTTGCTGAGGCAGGAAGATTACCTCAAGTTTCAGCCAGCATGGGATACACAGCAAGAAGCTACCTAAAATATTTTTTTTTAATTTAGGGACGGCAGATGGCCTCTGTTCTTCCAGAGGACCTGCGTTTGGTTCCGAGCACCCGAGTCACACATCTTACAACCAACCACCTGTAACTACAACTCCAGGAGATCCGAAGCCCTCTTCTGGCCTCCTTGGGCACCACACACATACGACATATACACACATGATAAATGTTTTGTCAGTTATTTAAATAGGAGGGTAGGTGTGTCTGTCACCCAGGCACTGGGAAGGTGGAGGCAGGAGGATTGGGATTTCACGATCACCTGGAGAAATGGCTGCAGCCCTGAAGTGAAGTGCTTTCTTCACAAGCACGGCAATGTGAGTTCAGATGGCAGAGCCCACACAATGCTGGGTGTGATAGCCCACCTCAGTCTCGGCCTCCCCAGAGCCCACACACATGCTGGGTGGTGTGATAGCCCACCTCAGTCTCGGCCTCGAAAGGCAGAGGTGAGGATCCCAGCGCAAGCTGTCTAGACAGACTAGACACATCTGTAAGCTCTGAGCTTTCTGAAGAGACCCAGCCTCAAAGAATAAGGTGGAGCGGAAGAAGGATCCTGACACCAACCCAGGCCTTCACATGTGCACACACACATGCAAAACTACATACATACATACATAGGATAGGTACATACATACCTACATGCATGCATACATACATACATATGTGCATACATGCCCACCACACATGAAAAATGATGATAAATACAAATTAAAAAGCAGTCCAAGGTCATTCTTAAGAACATAGTGAGTGTAAAGCCAACCTGGACTATATGCAATGTTCCCAAAAAAGAACCATTGACAGCTGTGGCCCTCAACCGTGTATTCACAGACTAAAATGAACCTCTTTTTCTCATAACTTATCAGTCTACAGCATTGTGTTACAGCAACAGGAAGCAAACAGAGGCAGCAGCTACCTGCAGCCAACCTGCCTCACCCATGACTGACATTTCTGCAGTCTGGGAGTGATGGTTGTCTAGTGATTTCCTCCAAACTCCTCGAGGAAGGATGAGGGCTCATGGGGCTCAGGAAGTAAACACAACTCACAAGTCTCGGGAAACTCCTCAAATTTACAGGATTTGCAAGGCCCCTTCCCAAGGACATATATAAAGCAGTAGGAGCTGCTGGGATGGGGGTTCTGCCGTGGATCTGTATACATAATACATAAATAAATCTTAAAAAAAAGATTGCTCAACTCAGGGTGGACAGTCTCTCTACTGCTATTAGTAGTGTTGACAGGGGCTCCATTTGTAAGCCCGCCCCCAGTCACTCACTGGGAGATTCTAGGCGGGGGCTCTACACTTGAGGTACATCCCCAGGTCTCCTCTTGCTGTTTCGTTCGGAAAAGGGCCTATCCTTGAATTTACTCTGTTTTGTAATCCTCCCGCCTCAGCCTCCCAAAGTAACTGAGATAAAACATCTGCATCACCATGCCTAGACAATGTCAGTGTTTTGATCAGTCAGGCCAGGCCAGCCAGGACTACATGGTAAGATCCTACCTCAGTGTGGGCACTTGGGGAGTCTACAATATGACATGTACACACTAAGCATCTGCTTGAACCATGACTCCATGAAATCTCAGCCAATTTGGAAGCAGCTGTAGCTGTGCGTGTGGTCCGGTGGAAGAATGTTTACCTGCCATGTTCATCTGCATGTGGCCCCGGGTTCATCTGCCAGGCAGGAAACGGGAAAGGGAAAGGAGGGAAGACGGCGACGAGAGGAGCAGGGAGAAGAGAGAGGAGGGAGGATGGAGAAAGGAGAGGTAAGAGCAGACTGGGGAGGGAAGGAGGGAAGAGGATGAGGGGGCCAGGAGAAGGCACCTCTGGGGTTGATGCTACTGTGCTCTGTGCTGTGCTTCTCAGTGTGGCCGCAAGAGGGCGCGGTGCCTCCCCAATCTGCACAGCCTCGTTGCTGCTCAGACCCAGAGTTGGGGTGATGCCTAAAGGTCCTTCAGAGTCCCCCTAAACGCTGGAGACCCAGAGGGAAATGTTTAAAGCCACGCAATTCAGTGTTCCACAACATCAAAGCATACAGCAAAATAAAAATGTTCATCATGGTACTGGAAGGTCAGGTTCCGTCTCCACGCGGTGGGGGTGGATCCCAAATCCCAGAGCTGGTGGGCCGGTGTGCTCTAATCTCTTTCTTCCTTTCTTCCTTCCTTCCCTCCCTCGCTTCCCTTTCCCTCCTCCCTCCCTCCCTCCCTCCCTTCCTTTTAAAAACAGTTGTTTTGTTGGTGCACACCTCCAGTCTCAGCATTCAGGAGGCAGAGGCAGGCAGATCTCTGAGTTCGAGGCCAGCCTGGTACAGAGAAACCCTGCTTCGAAAAAAATAAAAAACAGAAACAAACAACAAAAAGTTGTTTTATTTTTTACAAACGGGGCAGGCGCTGGTGTGTGTGTGCAGTGTCCTCAGAGCCCAGAGGTTACAGGTACAGGCCGTTGAGAACCGGAAGTTGGAAGTGAACTAGGGTCCTCTGCAAGAGCAGAAAATTAAAATGCTCATACCTTCTGAATTGTCTCTCCAATCTCTCTCTCTCTGTCTCTCTCTGTCTCTCTCTGTGTCTCTCTTTCTGTGTCTCTCTGTCTCTCTCTCCCTGTGTCTCTGTCCCTCTCTCTCTCTCTCTCCTCTATCTCTGTCTGTCTCTCTCTGTCTCTCTGTGTGTCTCTCTCTGTCTCTGTCTCTCTGTCTCTCTCTGTCTCTCTGTCTCTCTCTCTCATACCTGGCTGGAACCCAGCACCTCGTGTATGCTAGGCATCTGCCCACCCCACCTCAGACACTTCTTGAGGTGCCCCACCCGAATACCAGCCAGTTCATAACTGGTTAGGTTTCGCTGTGATTCTGAGCAGGACACCGGGTGTTGGAGCCCAGCAGCGCATCCAGCTGGAAAGCGTCCATGGTCCACCAGGAAGACACGGGTGCAGCTTCCCAGCATGCTCTATGAAGCCTAGCTTGTTCATCTCAGCCATGGCCCCTCTCCTGGCAGCTGAGTAGGGCTGGGACAACAGAGGAAACTCAAGCCCTGTGCTTGAGAAACTCCAGGCAGAAGAGACAAAGAAGCAGCAACAAACAGCCACAGGCCAAGGATTTGCAGGAGGCCGGAGCCAGGTCCCCGGGGTGGAAGGGGTTCAGGGAAATGAGTCCTGCAGAAGGGGCTCCGGGCAAACGGCGAGTTCAGCTTGAGGAACAAACCTGCAGGAATTCCAGTCGGAGGACCCAAATATGAAGTCTGGGGCCTCAGGAAGCATAGTTTAGAAGGGAATGGGAGATGGGATTTGTTATAAACAAAGCTGGTGAGGTCAGTGGGAACCTGATCCCACAGGAAGTTGGAGTTGGGGTACTCCCCTCAGCAAGGGAATAGAACCAGTTGCTGCTGCCTCAAAGTGAGGCAGGGAAGCTATTCCTGGGGGACCAGGACCAGGCTGAGAGGAATAGAAGGACATTAATTCAAGAAACTCCATTCCTGCTGAAGGCTGAGAATGCTGCCTGCCTCGACACATTATCGACAAAGCAGGAAGCGTGCCTGCTACAGACATTGTGTCTCTCCCCCTCCTCCCAATAACAAATTTTATCTTTGATAACAAAGAGAGAAAAGTATGAATGGGGATATTGCTCCCAGAAGCAGGCAGCTGCAAACCAGGGTTTGGGCAGGACTAACAGTGTCAAAGGAATTCTATTGAACCATGCTCTTCAGGGAGTCCCCCAAAGAATCCTGGAGACACAGGCACCCCAGGCGTGGAGGGAAACCCTGGGAAGGAGCTACAGTGCCCTCAGCCCTTGAGAAGCTGGTCCAATAGGAACGGAACACGGGACAATTAACCAGTGTCCTAACAAGACCCCGGGGACCAAGCCCAGGGTGTGAGGATGGAGGTTAAATCGTGCTCTGCCAAGGCCTTGTGCAGTCCTTTGTAGGGACAAAGAGCTGCATCCAGGGCCACACACTGTCCAAGACTTTCCCAAGAAGAGCTGGCTCTCGTCCCACAGGTGAGTGGAGGCAGATGAGCTGGGCAGAAGGAGAAAGGGCCACACCAAGCACTGTATGACCCTTTCCAGACCTCACCAAGTCGCAGAACAAAACGGGCAATTCTGCTGAGTGATTGCAGTCTGGGTCCTGCACGGCAATGGTGTTCCTCTCCCGCTCCTTTGGAGACAATAGCTACGTAGCCCAGGCTAACCTGGAACTTGTAACCTCCTGCTTCAGCCTCCTGAGTGTGCTGGGGTGACAGTCGAGCCCACCATGCCCAGGCTGTGTGGTATGGCATTAAGAGCTTTGGAGAAAGACAGGGTGTGGCGTGCTGAGCCCTTGACAGTTTCTTGAGTCCCCTCGGTGCATGAGACCTTAGCTGGAGTGCCAAGTGTGGTGACGGGGCTCCATCCCTCCCTTGCCATGGCCTTCTGTATGCAGTGTATGCAGCAAGCATCTCATGAATGGGAGCTGCCAGCTCTCAGCAGCAGGTCAGCAGGAAGCCAGTGAAGGTTTTACAGAGGGGAGGCAGATCCCCTCACCCTGATCAAGTGCCATTGCGTAGAGAGATCCAGGTCAAGCCTGGTTAGTGAATCCTGGAGACAGGATTAAGGGGTAAGGTTGAGAGTCAGTGGGACAAGCTGAGAATCATCAGGGGAGGGGGGCTGGGTGTGGGGGCCCACACCCATCATCCCAACATGCAGGAGACCAAGGCAGGAGGGTACATGATTCCAGATCAGAATGGGCTACAGCGAGACCCTGCCTCAGCAGATCAAAGGCGGAGGATGTGGCCCAGTGACGAGTGCCAGCAAGCAGAGTCCCC